TGGACTCTGCGACCTCAAAGGTGATGCGTTGTTTTTAATAGTTTTATATCTGGCACCTGTTCACCCAGGCTTTGCTTGAGCACTTCCTGTGGGAAGCCCTTTCTATTTTTGTGCAGCAATACTTATTAGATTAGGAGAAGAACTTTCTTTCTCTCCAAAATTGGCACCCTTTGGCTAAGTTTAATCCCTCTCCTACCTAAGATCTCAGGAATGTCTTCTCCATACCATTCAGATCCCTTGTGCAGTGCTCATTCTCCTCTGGATGTTCTCTAGTTAAATCTTATTAAAATAGCCTTTTGATCTTGTCACTCCCTTGCTCAAAAGCCTTCAATAGCTCCACATTACCTACAGAATAAAGACTGATCACCTTAGCAGCCGCCAGATCCGGTGGCCTTTTCTTAAGTCTCCACCTATCTCTCTTCCGCCATTTGACACTGCTGATCACCCTGTCTTTCCACCTGTCTGACCTCTCCTCCTCCTCCTTGCTGGCTCATTCACCTCCTGTCCGTTGTGGCTATGCCCTGAGGCTCTCTCTGGGGCCCTATTCTCTTGGTGACTTCATCAGCAACTGTGGGTTTAATTCTCTTCTGGCAGATGATCATCTTTAGGTGGAGAATACCTAGAATTTTGAGCTGAATGTCCTATAGACATCTCCAATTCAACTTATTAAAAAAAAAAAAGACTCATCCTTCCCTCCAAATCCAACCCTTTTCTGAGCTCCCTATCTCTGCCAAGGGTTTCCACTGTCTTTCTGGTCACCCAAATGTGCAACCGTGGAATTACCCTTTCCTCCTCACTCTTCTTACTCTGCATGTCTACTCATCTGTCAAGTCATGTCCGTTTTATCTGCACACCTCCTCTTCCTTCTCACTCAAATGGCCTCCTTAGGCCGGGTCCTAGTCAGGGTGTTGATTGTTGCTGTTGAGTCGTTTTTCAGTTGTTTCTCTTTGTGACCTTTTTGGGAGGGTTTCTTGGCAAAGATACTGGAGTGGTTTGCCATTTCCTTCCCCAGCTTATTTTACAGATGAGCAAACTGAGGCAAACAGGGTTAAGTGATTTGCCCAGGGTCACACAGCTAATAAGTGTCTGAGGCCACACTGGAACTCAGATCTTCTTGACTCCAGGCCCTGTGCTCTGTCCACTACACCACCTAGCTACCTAATCATACCTCTTGCCTAGATTACTGCAGTGGCTTTCTAATTGGTCTCCCTGATTCAGATTTCTCCCCACAACTGCCCAAGTTATTTGCACAGAATTTTTGAGTTGAAAAGTTTTTGGCCATTTGGTCCAACCCATACCTGAAATGAATCGGCAATGATCCAGCCTCTACAGCTGATGGCACAGTGGACAGAGAGCAGGCCTCAGGCATTTGCTACTTGTGTGACTCTGGGCAAGTCACTTAACCTCAGTTTGCCTCAGTAAAATGGGGATCATGATAGCACCCACATCACAGGGTTGTTGTGAGGATCAAATGAGACAATATTTGTAAAAGCCTTAGCACGGTGCCTGGCGTTTTTATGTTATGTTATCATATAAGTATTATATAAATGCTTAATCCCTTCCCTTCCCCCTTAAAGACTTACAGTGAGGGGAAAACCCACCATCTCCTGAGACAGCCCAACTCTGGCCTCTCTCATTGTGTTGGTGTTTTGGTCCCCTAGTAGATGATAAGGTTCATGAGATAGGGACTTTATTATCTACACTTAGTATCTTTCCCAGGACCTAGCAAAGTGCTCTACACAATAATACGTACAGGATTAATTAAATAAGTGGGTATGTATACTGAATAATCAAAGTAAACAACAAAGACAAGTAAATTGATACAAGTAAATATATGAGCCCCTTCAACTTCATAGTATTGGATAATAATAATAATGGTACTGAATAATAATAGTATTGAATAATAATTCAATACTATTGAATAATAAAATGATATAGTTTCAAAATAAACATTTCTGGCCTACTTTATGTTAGGATTTTTTTAAGCCTATTGTAGACAAAATATCAGACCAAAAATGATGCCTTCTCTTTGATACTTTTTTTTTAAACAATACATCAAGAACTACTTCAAGAAATAATTAGTTTTAGAGAAATAACATTCAAAAATCTGACAAATGTAAAATATGAATCACTATTAGACTGGATTAGAAAAGACTTTCTGCTTGAGGGAAAAAAATGAACAAGAAAACAGGAATGAGACAGGACTCCATATAAAGAATGTCATTTATTTAGAATTTAGGTCAGCCCATTAAAACAAAATTGGTCATATTAAAATAAATTAAATGCATTGTACAGATATTTTTAAATAATGAGACTTAAGAATAAATTAAAATGATCAGAATTAATGTACATATATGGATATGAGCACTACTCAGAATCACTTTTGAATTCAGTATTTCTTATCTGTCAACTATATTTGGCACATAATAAGCCCTTAGTAAATGCTTGACTGACTAAATTAGACCTAATCATTTGGTGTGCACAGCAGGTATAGATTGCTCATGTTTTGAACAAATGGTGTCATTGCTGGGCCTTCATTCCCAGGACAGAGTCACCATGGAATGTCATGAAAATAAGACCTAATGATTTCTCAAAGTACCATTTTGCTAAGATCACCTAAATATATATTATATTACATACAAAAAAGCAACAAGTTTGACAGGTTCAGACACACTAAGGTTTTCCTAAACTTGAAATAAACATAATTTGACAAAAGTTTGCACTTACAAAAAAAATAAGAGAGCTGATAAAATGCAAATACTTGTTTTTATGTATATGTTATACTTAAAAACCGGCTGATTTCCCCAAGAGGGAAACATTACTGGATTCATGAATCACAGGTAGGTTTCTGCTCTTCAAATCAATCATTTGTTTCAACCCAGATGTTCTGTTTTGAAGAAAAACCATCAGTAATCTTAAGTGAAATGCTTCAATTTCACTCATTAAATTTATCAGCCATGTTCCCATCACACTTTGTTTTGTAGTTCTCTAATACATTTATTATTATGAATGTATTTGTCTTATTCCCCTGTGAGACAGTATTGTGTTTGACCTGAACTTTCTGTCTTTCTGGTGCCTAGCGCCAGGCTCTCTGCACGTGGGCACTTAGTAATAAATGTCTATTGACTGATTGCTCTATCAACAGAGCTTAGGAATTAAACTAATCCAAACTCTGATTCATGAACCTGCTAATTAAATCTAGTTGTAACATATACACATTGACTTCATTTAATTTAAACAAAAGATGTTACTAGTCATTCTATCTCAGAAGACAGACAGTACTGGAATATCACCATTTGATATGAAGGTATATGCTTATTTTCTAAAGTCTTTGGAATAGGGAGTATGAAAAGCCAATTCAAGCCAAGTTGCAAACAACTCTTCCTATCCGGTCCTGGCCCCTGCTAAGTAGGCATCCTCAAGCTCTGGGTCCCAATGGCTATTATTATGATTATTTTTGGCTACTCATAAAGAAATGAAGACATGGTTGTCATAATCCTTTAACACAATCATCTAAAATCTGTGACTGAAGTTTCTCAAAGACTCTCTCTCTGTGTATGTAAGTATATATAGGGCTAAGAAAGTAAAATGGCTTCTTAGGCAGCTTGCACAGTTAACTGAGAAATAGTTAATTCTCAATTATCTGTAGTCATGGTTACTTTGACATGACACTGAGAATGTTCCTGGGCTGTGTCTCCTTATTACCCAGCCAGTGTATACTCAGGGAATGTCGACCTAGTAAAAAACATGATTAGGAAGGTAAATCTACCAAATGACAATCACAATGCATTTTAAAAGCTTGCCATTGATTTGGGGATTATCTAGTTCATTGAATTATTTACCTCTTGTACAGATATATCTCTGATGTTAATGTGAGATAACTGTTCATCCAAGTAAAGATACCTGCACAGTCAAAGTGCTACAAAAGTGAGGAGCCCCCAAACTGAGGACACACCTTCTCAACAGAAGCAATCTAGTGCGTGGGGGATGTTATACAAGGGAAGCTTGTTCAGCAAAATTTTTCATTGATATCTATCCATTTCAACAATTTCAATGCACAAATCTAAAGCCATGAGATAAGACTGATTCTTACTCATCTTTGAATCTGGTTTCAGAGTGCTATGGAAATAATAAGTACCATTACACAGATGGTAAATCTGATTTCTTTTGTTGCTCTGTTACACTTCCAAGTTTTAACTACCAAAGTTGTGGCTTCAACTGTAGGTCATGATTTCACAAAGTTATATAATCTGATGGCTGCACTCCCATTTATTTCACATGACCCCACCCCAACACAGACGTAAAGAAGTCCAAAAATTGGGGTGAATCAGGACTGAATTCTCAGGCTTTCTAAGCAGCACCACTCTTTATTGTGCCCACTGTGAGCCAGGAAGGCAGAGGCTGTTTCCCCTTCAGGCCTTATTTAAGTAATGTTCTTCATATCCAATTAATTCTCACAATCACACAAATTGACATTTGCCATGTTCCTTGCAACTTATTTCATTTAAAAATGCAACAAAAAAACCATTAATAATTGATGATTTTAAAAACTAGCAAAAGGAAAAAGTTATTCAAAATGAATTTGTTTTGCTTGACTATGAATATTTGTTACAAAGGTTTTGTTTTTTTTCTTTTTTCTTTTTACATGGGGGCAAAGGAGAGAAAATAAATGCATGTAATTGAAAAACAAAATGAAAAAATATTAGAAGGTAGATCATGTAGATCTTAAAGAAAAGATTGGTTGATTCAGAATTGCTTAAGACTTAAGCAAGATTTTATTCTGCTAAAGTATATGAGGATAGCAGGCCTGAAAAGTAGTGGGTTACCTACATCTATGCTACAATATCAAGATATGGAACTTTTTTAAAAAAAAGCCATATTATGGGGGCAGCTAAGTGGCGCAGTGGATAGAGATCTTGCCTTGGAGTCAGGAGAACCTGAGTTCAAATCCGGCCTCAGGCATTTGACACTTACTAGCTGTGTGACCCTGGGCAAGTCACTTAACCCCAACTGCCTCACCAAAAAGCGGGGAAAAAAAAAAAGACATTATGGACTATGATGTAAAAATAAGTCCAAAAGTGCTGCTTTCTTTGGCACAGAGATAGGTGATTGGTATCTAAATATTCTGAGGTCTAGCTCTATAAATACATGGACAGTAAATGTAGACATCAAATAGAAAGCTAAACAAAGAACAAAAGTGCACATTTATATGTCAAAACTACTTGTAGCTAAAATTATGCATTTAAAATTTTACTTTAAAAAGACAAACAATAGACTATTACATTTTAAGAACTTTCTTCAGGGACATATGTCTAAGTCCATCACTGCACTCGGCGTGTAGTATAATCTAACACCATACTTGCAGCACCAAGCAAAGCAGGATCGACCAAGTCTGAAACGACAACGTCTACAGTTTGAACTGAGAACAAGGCTTGTTGTCGGATCACGTCTTTAACAATGTTAACGTAATGACTTGCTAGGACTCCAGACAGGATCACAAGTGAAGGATTCATCGTGTGAAGGATATTCACAACACCAAGGCCCAAAGCTGTCCCTGCTATAAGAATACAAAAATGGTAGAACTAAGAACCGTGCAAAGGTAAAATCACAAGTTAATTTGAGAAACACAAATCATAGCCAAGAAACAGTGAAAATATGTGGGAAATTCAACAAAGTTAGTCACAGAACCAAAATTAGCTTTTTCTTAAAGATGATACTTGAATTTCAAAACCATGCATTACTTTCCAAAAATATTAACTATGCAGCATTATTTTGAAGACTGTCCCAATAAGATGGGTGGTCTCCTACCTGTTCTAAGAATACTAGCAGCTTTTGTATTGCCAAGCTTAGCTGCCTGAATGAGATGAAGAGCTCCAACAGTTTCTTCTTTTTTCATTGACATTCCTTCCACTAAGAGAAGGTCTTCTATTTTGGGAAAGATGAAAAAGACAGGGAGGGAGGGAAGAAGGGAAGGGGGGGCAGAAGGAGAGGGGGGGGGAGAGAGAGAGAAAGATCAAACATACACAGCATTAATAAATCCATAGTGATGCGTAAGGCTGAACTTGTCATTTTCCCACTTCCTTTTTTCCCCTCTATTAATGGTATCACCATCCTCCCAAGTATCCAGTTTGTTACCTCTTTTAAAATTGTACTTTTACTGATGCCTTTTGTTGTTTTATCATATTCATTTCTGGATATATCCTTCTCCCGTCCCTTATAATCGGGAGACCAATAAAGATGGAAAAAAAAAGGGAAAAAAAGCAGTTCAGTAAAACCAATCAATACATCAACTACATCCTCCAGTAGAGGTACTACTACACACCCATAGGCCCCTACCTCTGTCCTGTAGAGAGAGGAGATGTGTTTTCTTAGCTTTTCTCCAAGTACAAGCTTGGTCATTATAATTACACATCATTTGGTTTCAATTTATTATTCTGTTTACATTGTATATATTGGTTTTTAAATTTTTATTTATTTTTTAACATTATTAAAATGTTGAGTTCCAAATTCTTGCTTCCTGTAGCCTTGCCCCACCCTTTAATAAGGCAAGCATTATGATACCATTATACACGTAAAGTTATGTAAAACATTTCTTTATTAGCCATGTACTACAAAAAAAGGCAAAAAAATAAATAAGGTAAGAAACAGTATGCTTCAATCTGCATTCAGAGTTCATCAATTCTCTTTGGAGGTAGAGAGCATTTTTCACTGTAGGTCCTTTGGAATTGTCTTGATCAGAGTAGCTAAGTCTTTCACGGTTGATTACCCTTACAATATTACTGTTACTTTGTACAATGTTCTCCTGGTTTTGTTCAATTCACTTTGTATCAGTTCATATAAATCTTCCCAGGTTTTTCTGAAAACATCCCCCTCATCATTTCTTATAGCACAAGATTACTCCATCACATTGTATATATTGTGCTGGATCTGCTTACTGTAATCTGTATCAATTCATATAAATCTTCCTATGCTTTTCTGAGTTTTTCATATTCATCATTTATGTCACAGAATTTATTACATTACATTCACATACTTCAGTTTGTTTAGCTATCTTCCAAATGATGGACACCTACTTTGTTTCCAATTCTTTGTTAACACCAAAAAACACTTCTATGAATATTTTATTGTACATGGAAACTTTCTGTTTTTGACCTCCTCAGGGATATATTTGGCTCATAACCATAACATTCATCTTTCACTTTTCCCTGTCCCTTAGCCCACATACACAGTAAATGGAAAAATCCTGTCATTTCTACTTCCACAATATCTTTTGCATTTGACCTATTCTCTATTCCTATTGTAACCACCCCAATCCTGTTAAAATTCTCTCCTGCCCTCAAGTAGAATGTAAATTCCTTAAGGACAGAGGCTATTGGTTTTTAAGCCTGGCCTCTGGCACTTAGCAAAGAGTCAATAAATGCTTGTTCAATTCAATTGATTTGTTGATTAGTTTAGGCCTAGTCTACTATAATAGCCTCCTAACTGATCTTGCCTCTTCTTCCTCAAATTTCTCCCAGCTTATTGCCCTGCTCTTCTATGCCTCCATCAAACTGGTACGGACCTGTGATTTCAATAGCATAGGAAATTCCTAGTAAAGAAATTCCCTCTACTAATGCAGATCATGACCTGTTTTACAACTTACAATTTTAGAGATTTGTAGCAGGGCACTGAGATGTTGGTTAAATGACTTTCCCATAGTCATAGAGGCAGTATGGGTCACAAGCCTGACTTGAACTGGAATCTTATGGGCCTTCTGTCCACTATACCATACTGCCTCATTCCTTATTGTTACCATAGGGAAAATACATCCTGCTTTATGAAACTATTTAAAAACATAGAATTTAGCATGGGAAGACTTGAATGAATTGATAAAGAATAAAGTTAGCAGTGCCAGGAAATAATATATACCATGACTACAATGATGTGAATTAAAAAGAAAATCAAACCTTCTGTAATTATAATGACTAAGCCAGACCTTAGAGAAGTTGAGAAAATACAACTCCTCTCTTTGTAAAGGTATGGTACTATGGGCATGGAATACTACACACAGTATAAGACACAACTGATCTGTGTGTTGATTGGTTTTGTTGAATTGCCTTTTTTTTCTTTCTCTTCTAATATTTGGCTTGTTGAGTGGGGGAGGCAGAAGGCGAATATTAAAAAATAAAGGTGACAGAAAAATAAAAGACAGCAATAAAACAAGATTAAAAATATTAACATATGGTTTCTGAGAAGACAATGTGGTGAAAATCAAGGACTGCCCAGATAACTAGCTATCACATACTCACTTCTTAAGTAGAGCTTTGGAATTGATTATAAATACCATATTGGTACAAATATAGATTCTACTTTTTCCCTAATCTGGATTGTATAAAACCTGAATGCAGTCTATAATTATGCTTTTAGAAATAGATTAGATATATGGTACCTCTGGTATCATCTGAAGCAGTAGAAACACCTTCTCTATCAACCTGTGTTCATCCTCAGAGGAGTCTATGTCATCCTACCTCTCTGCTGCTGTTATTGCCAGATAAGGGAGACAGATGCCTTCCACTTATAACTGGTCTACATCCCTGCCCTCAGTTGCTTAGAGTTAGGGATCTCACTATAAAACCCATCAACTTTCCGGGGCTTGAGATGGGCATCTAGGGTGAGTAGCAGGAAGGGATCCCATGGCATTTCCTCCCTGGGTTGATACTCCAATTCACATTAGTACAAAGATGATCTCATGGCTTCTAAGTTCCATAGGCAACTATGAAGTTTGAGGTCAAAGAGCAGAAAATTAGGCAGAAGAATAATAAAGCGCACACTAACTGTGGCCTTAGAAGAGGAATAGTGAAGGAGAATGCATGGATAAAGAATGCAGATGAGGATTCAGAAGTGTATGAAAGTTATTATATTTAATGTACTGAAATGATTTTAAGTAGTGATTAGGTAGGCTTAGTTGGTTATGCTGATGTCCATTGCTGGTGTCTTAATGAAACATTTTCAAAGAGAAGTTAAGGGAACAGGCAGGAGTAGTGAATTAAGGAGCAGAGAGGTCTTCAAACTTGACAATAAAGTAAGTTGCTCCCAGAGCGCAGCAAGGCAAGGACAACTGAGAGTGACCTGCATGTGCTGGCTGCCAAAGTCCAGGGAAGCAGGGAGAAGTTCTGGAGGGCATGTACTCTCTGTCTTTCAAATCAGGTAGTATTGGGGGAGCTTTTCATCAGTCCTAGTGTGGGACAAAGTTGCCCTAACCCCCAAAGAACCTAGGACTGGGGAAGAGTGAGACAGGGGCAGCATGAGGGGAGAAAGCAGTTTCTACAAATTTCCAGCGTTAAAATATCTTGCCAAATGTGGAGGAAATTATTTGGCAAGAATTGCAAATGAGGATGACAAAATGCTGTGGACTTGTAGAAAAGATGGGAGGAAGGGGATGGTATATGAATATACCTATTATATTAGAGGGTATATTCGGTATATATAGGTATATATAATACCTATTGTATTAGAGGCTATTAGAGGAAAGGGAGAGTTGTCAAAAATTTCTCTCACAAAATATTTAAGTCCTTAGCATCTCAGGGCTCTTGAAAAAAATGCAATTTTTACATTTAATCTGGATGGGATGATCCTGTGGTAGAGATAGGAAGTGGAAAGAGGGGCAAATGACAGTGACCCATCTGTATTGGCCTCCTTAATGAAAGCCCACAACTAGTTGGTGCAGTGGATAGAGTGCTGGGCCTAGAGTCAAGAAGACCCGAGTTCAAATCTGGCCTCAGACACTCCCTAGCTGCATGTCCCTGGGCATGTCACTTAAACTGTTTACCTCAGTTTCCTCAACTATAAAATAAAGATAATAACAGCACCTACCTCCCAGGATTATTGAGAGTATCAAATGAGATAATATTTGTAAAGACTTGGCATAGTGGCTGGCACATAGCAGGTACTATATAAATGCTAGATATTATTATTGTTTTTGTTATTTTGAGGGCAAAGATATCAGGAGTTTAGGGATCATGGCAGATGTGGCCAGAAAATATGAACTGCTAGGTTCTACTTCCATAAATATGAAACATTTACCTTTAGAAAAAAATAAGATTTCTCCCAAATTGATTGGAGTTTTTATATGGTAAATGTTTTTCATTGCATACCTATTTTTTTTTCCCCAGAGAGAACATATTTTTAGGGTAAGGTCTATGTTTAGGGGTGGGCTATATTTGGACAAATGTGCTAGATCTTATATATAAGTTAATGCTAAAAAAAATGAAAATAACAGTGCTCTATCTTCCTATTTGATTTATGTATTTTGAACAACTTATCTTTATATGCAAAAATCTCATATTCCTATTCAGCAGAAGCCACCATACCATCATGTAGTTTCTTAGCTTCTCTCTGTAAGGCCATCCCAGAGGCATAGGCCTCAATGCATCCATGATTCCCACATGAACAATCAGGTCCATCCAAAGACACCACGAGGTGTCCGAGTTCAGCAGCGCAAAAAGAACTGCCATGTATCAGCTCATGCTGATGAATGATGCCACCACCGATTCCTATAAAGACAGAAGCATTCAGATGTCAGTGCCATCCTCATCAGTCCCAGCGATCCTGGAGGGTCTTCGGGGGCTCTGGAGGTATGCAGCTCTCTGGAGTTGATGCTTCTCCAGTCCCTGGGTCTCTGTCCTTCCTCAAAGGAGGCCATCAGCTAAGGGAGACTGGCCAGCTGCTACCTCCTCATCCCTCTACTTCCTGCTTCTATTCTGCTATGGGGCAGAGAAATGGAATAACCACACCTGTTAGGATTTTGTCGAAAATACAAGTAAATAGCCTCTAAGCAAAAGGCTCAAGTTTCCTCCTGTGACTAAAGTGTGAGAGCTTTACCACAAAGGTTTTGTAACATCTGCTCTGACTGCTCAGAGGCCTTCCTGGTTCTTGCCTAAACCCCCAAATAGTTGAGATTGCTAGATAAATGAGGTGTTACTGAAGTATAAGTCTCTGTCCTAAAAGAATAATTGACTTCTAGGGGAATACTCAGAATTTGGTTACTAAATAAGTAAATCAGGCAAAGGTCACACTGGCATTGAAATAAGCATAGGCACAGACAGGGTCATGGGATCCTTGCCCTAGAGTCAGAAGGAACCTCCGAAGACAACTAATCCAAACCCTTCGTTTTGCAGACGTGCAAAAGACATGCATGAAGACAAACCACATGACAAACTGAAAAGGCAAGAGGAGTGAGCAGGGGCATTTATCTCACTGGAAGCACAGGAGCTGGGAAAAATAGAGGTTTGCTGAAGTGAAGCAAAGTGAAGGAAATGAGACGTTGTGCTGGGCATATGAACCTCAGAAAACTGTTGCAGGGCAAGGAGAGCAGCCTCAGGTATGGGGGAACCACAGGAGACTGAAAAAAGCTGGCTCATGGTAGTAAGATGCTTACAAGCCACTAATGTTAGAAGTGCTTTTGTAGGAAACATGAGCGTTCTAATTTTCTACATAGATATCATGCCCATTGAAAATTAACAAGCTGCCAATTTACTTATAAATCAGACTTTTGTTAGGAAGTATGCCAATTCACTAAGACTATATTATTCTTAGATGGACCAAATTTCTATTATTCTACCTATTAAATTGAATGGCCAGATAGATGATGCACTATAGGTAATCAATCAATAAGCAAACATTTATTAAGCACCTGCTCTCCGCTAGGCACAAGGGATACAAACACCAAAGCGAGACAGTTCTCTGCCTTTAAGGAGCTTATTATCTACTGGGGATCCAACATGTTCACAGGTAAGTAAATGCAGGATATAAAGTTATCCCTTCCACAGTGCGACTTTCCCTATTGTGGTTCGATATATCAAGGGTCAGCATAAGAAGTTATATGGGAATTTTGGGGGAGTTTTGCAAAAACTACAGATGCCATGCAAAGGCCAGCATGTGACACAGAAAAAATTTAGAGACTCAGAAATGCATAAAATATATGTACAGTATTATATAATATCAACATATTTTATCTTTTAATACCATAATAATTCAGACTTCTCTGGTATGAGGGGAGGGCCAAAACATTTTATGTGGATTTTCCAGATTGGGAAGTGCCCTGCACCAGGCCCCTAACCCCTGTGATGTGGAAGGGATACCTGTATACAAAATACTCAGTGATAGAGAGAGAGTTATTTGTAGGGGGCCTTAAAGACAGGCATAGGTGAAGAGGAAGGGCACCCCAGGCATGAGGGACAGCTGCAGAGGGGAGAGAGAGAGTTGGGTACAAGGAAAAGCAAACAGGCCTGTTTGGGTGGAAAGGAAGTCATGTCTAATCACCGGGAAAGACAGTCTGGAATCCAACTGTGAAAGACTTTAAATACCAAAAGAGTTTGTATTTTTTTCCTAGTGACAGCAGGGGTTTACGACAAAATCAGTTAGGAATCCTGATAAACAGCATTAACTGCAGGATATTTTAATATGCGTAGTTTTAATGACATGCAAAAATCATATGGCTTGATTATTCATCTAACTTCTTGTAGGAATTGTGCTGGGGAGTTAAATGAATAGATCATTGATGAAAGCAGACTGTTCCTTGAAATGAATGTTAGAATTAAGTGTTAATTTTATTAAATTTAGGATAAAATAATTTCTGTAGAAATCCTCTATTCTTTTGATGAAAAACATTCATGGGAAAATATTATTGGCTACATAGTCACTTTATACTCAATTTTTCTGGAACATACTTAATGGATAAAGTGTATCACTAAGAAACCTTACTGTAGAAATGGAAAGTAAGTCAGAAAACAAGTTCACCCCTACAAAGTGCTCTACAAGGATGAGCCAGGATTATGTTGGATGATATGAACAGTACTTAACACTGTGGTATCAGTTAGTGACAGGAGGAGCTGGGAACAGCAGAATCAGTCTGTCAGTCACTAGCATTTACTAAGCACCTTCTATGTGATTTATTGTCTAAGTGTGCGGAAACAAAGAAAGGCACACAACAGCCCCTGCCTTCATGGAACTCATAGTCTAAGGGGCAGACAACATGCAAACAACTGTGTACAACAAGCTATCTACGAGACAAATTATAGAGAATTGACAGAGGGAAGGCATTAGCATCAAGAAGGCTTGGGAATCAGTATAAGATGACAAACAGAAAAGGATCCGTGTTCACTGAGCCACACACTGCTCAAGGGACTAAGATGTTTTCTTCAAGAAATCACTACATCTGTGTCAGAGACTTCCTAAATAAACGACTGCACTGATTTCCTTCTCTCTTCTCTCACCTGTGCCTGTGATGAGTGTCACAAAGTTTTCCAGTCCTTTTCCTTGACCAAATTTTCTTTCTGCCAAGGCAGCACAATTGCCATCATTGTCTACCCAGACAGGGAGATGCAATGTATCAGAGATGGGGGTCCTCAGATCCACAGAACTCCATTCTTGAATAAGTTTGGTAGAATGGAGTACAATTCCTTCACGAGGATTTACACGTCCACCTGTGGAAATACCTGACCACAACCAAAAATACACAAAATTCAGATAATATTTCTAAGAGAGAAGAAAGAATGCTCTTTTCTTAAGATGGGAAAATAACTTAATTCACTCAAGCTTCAGTGTGGTTACTACCTACTACACAGGATTGGCAATGAAATAGGAAGTGGCTGTTAAATACAAAAGTAATGTTGTTGGGGAATCATTTAAAGAACTAATCTGGTTTTCCAATGAGGGAATTAGAACAGCGAGTGGTAGTGAGAATTGAGTGACCCACACTGACTCCATCTTGTGACTCAATTCTGGATCTCGCTCAGTTCCTTTTCTATTCAATTACGGGTCTAGACCATTTTCTGTCTTGTGAGAAAACTTTATTCAACTGTGGGAATTGCAAGAAAACCTTATTGCACTGTTTGAACCTATCTTTGGTGGGTGTGAAGTTGAACCAAGTCTACCTGTTGCACAGAGATGCTTAACTAGATTAGGCCGCCCAGATACCCAGTCAGACCCAAAGATTGATGCAAGGAGTCTTCTCACAATGATACATTTCAAGCAATCTATATGTCTTATCTGAAAACTGGTTCCCATGCTGGTCAATCAGTTGCTTCTATGTTACTCTGACTGCATAAAGATACTTAGGGGGAGTGGGGCACCTCTTTTTCTGATTTCAAGAAATTTTACCTGTTTATTTCTCCTCTCTCAACTTCAAAAGTCTCTAATCTTTCCTCTAATTAGAAATCAGATTACCTAATGTATACAGGTTAATTGTGTTTTTAATTAATTAGCCTTATTTGATTGTTTCTAAGGCATAAAAATCTCCCCCTCCCCGTATTTTGGGTCCAGTGCCAAAGTTGAGGAGGCCTAGTCCCAGTTTGTTAAGCAATTAGAATGTATTGCTTAATAAATTCATACGCTCAGAAGCTCAGACCTTTGTTTCCTCAGTCATTTCATCTCTGACCCACCATACCAAGCCTAGTTTCTATTATAGGCAGTTTACAACTTCTACAAATGGGATATACTTCCAAAAATAATTGGCAAGTTTGAAATCTGGAATGTATTTCTCTAAAGAAACATAAATGGTAATTAAGTTCCCAACTAGCCAGCAAAGCCAATTAACCCAAAATAAAGCTGGAATTAATTTCTATTTCCCTTCAAGTTGGATAATAAAGTAGAATGAACACTGGATTTAGTCAGACAACCTGGATTCAAATCCTGCCTGTCACTATCAATGTGACCCTTCTGGGTTTCAGATTCTTCATCTGTAAAATGAGGAGATTGGACAGGATAGCTTCTGAGGTACTTTCTAAATCTATGATCCTGTGACTGACTCCTGTGAAATGTTCCCCTTCCTCTTCCTCTCGATGTTTCAGATACATTAGGGGTTAGAATGGGTTTTTCTGGGGAAGCCTGCAAACTAACCACTATTTATAAAGCCATTTCTATGGGGGGGGGAATGCATTCCACAGTGTAGCCTCTTTGGTCACATCTGCCTCTCAGACAAGAAGAAAAATAGTAGCATACTACACTTTCCCTTCCCTTTCTCATTTCTCCCTCCCCTCTCACATACACCTCAGCATGAAGGGAAAAAGTAATTCAAAGAATACATCTCCTTGCCTGGAATTTTATAGAATTTGGGCTGAGGACAAATCCCATCTGATCTCTGGGCACAATAAAGGCCGACTATTTTTAAGTAGGGGTGTTCGTTCATAAATTGGGTATGTGGCATCTAGAGGGTGTCTGTAATATTACTGGCGGGGGGGAGGGAGGAAATCCTCACACCCTCATGTGGAACAAAGCAAAGACCAAAGTAACTTAAGGATAGGTACAGATGGCAGAGCCCTCCCTTCCTGAAAAAGACAACAAAAAACAGAGGCTGTGTTCTTTATGAGAAAAAAAAACTAAAACATTAGAAGCAGGTTATTTTGATACAAAATAGGAGACACTGGAAAGTAATTTGCATTATTTTTAAAAATTATTATGCTTTGATACAACAAAGCAAATTAGACATTCATAACTATGTATGCATAAATGCATTCTTTTAAGAGTTCATATCATAGAGCACAGGCCCTGAAATCAGGAGGACCCGAGTTCAAATCCAGCCTCAGACCAAACACTTGACACGTACTAGCTGTGTGACCTTGGGCAAGTCACTTAACCCTGACTGCCTCACTAAAAAAAAAAAGGGTTCATATCACCTTATTCTTTGTATCTATGTGCATATTTTTCTTTTTATATCATCAGCAGTACACAACTTTTAAAGGTTTTGCTTTTGCTTCATTTCAAATACTATATACATATACACACACACATATATATATATCCAAACTTCTTTATATTACTTTACAAAGGTCCTAGTGCAGTTTTACATTTTAATAAATATGTTTATTTATCATATATTAAATATACTTATATTTAATAAGCATTTTTACATTCTATTACATTGATATAACATAGTATTAGTCATTCATGAACTGTTGGGCATTTACAATTCTTTGCAAATGCAAAAGAAGTGCTGATTATATATCATGCATACACACACACACACACACACACACAAATACATATGTCAACATAATCCTTTTTCTTTATAATACTCAGTGTATATCCTAATATACAGTATGATCACAACTGTGACTTTTGATAAATACTGCTATATTGCCTTTCAAAAATCAATTTGCAGGGCAGCTAGGTGCCACAGTGCAAAGAGCCCCAGCCTTGGAGTCAGGAAGACCTAAGTTCAAATGTGGCCTCAAACACTTGGCAATTACTAGCTGTGTGACCCTGAACAAGTCACTTAACCCCACTTGCCTCACCAAAAAGCAAAAAAAAAAAAAATCAATTTGCAATTATGCCAGCAATGTATGAGCATACCTTGTTTCCCCACAATCTTACCAACAATGACTTTTGTCACTGTTATTTTTGCCAGTCTCATAGGTATAAATCAACACTTTGAAGTTGTTTTAATTTGCATTTCTGACCATTAGTGCGGTTGAACATTTTTTCAAATGATTGTTTATAATGGACTTCTGCTTTTCTGTCTAAAAAAATTTTTTTCTTCTCTATTTTATTAGTAGAGGGAGGCACCTCTCACCAACTACTTCAGTTGGACTAACTTCTTCACTAAAGTCTAGATTGAGTATGTATCAATGTCCTGTGGCACCAGAAGCAGGTATCAGATGGCTCAAGTGACCTTGGTGGCAGACTAGCAGTTGCTGAGTCTTGCTTATGAAGATTTTCCTTTTTTTTTTTCACTTCTTTTTTTTTCTATTTAGAATCATTTCTACTTTTTGTTGGAGAGAGTGGCCAGCTCATCCCTAGGTGTATAACTATTTCACCATTTCTCATCAAGTTTGGGGCATTACTTTTTATAGTATCTATTTTCTTAAACAACAATGCCAAAACTGAACATTTCTGTACCAAACTCTCCCTACCATGGTTCCACTTTCCAAATTTTTTTTAAAAGGCTAAAAATGAAAAAAAATTGTAGCATCTTCTACAACACTACTGACAAAGCAATACTGACTGAGTTTAAAGATATCTTTACAAGAAAATAAAATCAGTGATCCATTATTTAATTAAAGGGCACTGACCACTGTGAACCCTTCAAGAACAGGAGGTATGTATAACTGAGCATATAGCCTATGCTATGCAAAGCACAGATATGCAATATATTTTTATTTTTATTGTCACAATATGATCTTCAGCAAGTATTGGCTAATGGTGTCTCTTAATATAATAGAAAGAATAGCCATATGACTACCGGCAAGTCACATAATCTTTCTAAGCCTCAGTTTCTTCATCTACAAAAAGGGCATAATAACAGATGGCCTATCTCACAGCACTCTGCTAACTATATTATTTTTATTTTTTCACATGTTACTTAATTCTGGGAAAAGACATTGTAATAAATGAGGATTGGCATCCTTTAGGTCCTTGAAATGCAAGACTGGATCATTTAAAGAACTAGAGAAACTAGAATAAAACATTTATTGAAGGACTTCAAATTGAACAAGCCAACCCCCTCTTTTATGTGAATAAGTCCTTAAAGAATTTGCCTGTTCACGTACACCATATTAATTTCCTTGATCTGTGCCTTCACCATTTTTCTCCAACCTGAAATGCCCTACTTTGCTCTTTTCTGCTTATTCTTATCCAAATCCTACCATATCCTTCAAGATAATCTCCTTTTGTGAGCCATTCTATGATGACCCCAGACAACACGAAGCTGCTCCTTCTCTGGATTCCTATTTCATATACTGTCACAAAGGCAGAGGCAGCTCATGGTTGAGTAGACAGAGTGCTGGGCCTGGAGTCAGGAAGACTTGATTTCAAATCTGGTCTCAGACACTTACTAATGGTGTGAACCTGGGCAAGTCGCTTAACTTCTGCTTGCCTCCATTTCCTCATCTGTAAAATAGGAATAATAATAGCACTCACCTCATAGGATTATTGTGAGACTCAAATGATGTAATATTTGTAAAAGTGCTTGGCACAGTGGTGCTATGCTATGCTGGAACATAATAGGTACTATAAAAATGTTTATTCCCATTATCAAACAATTGTCATTTAATACTGTTTATTAACTGAAAAATACAGTCAGAACATAGCATATCTTACAATCTAATAAACTTAGTCTGCACTGGTATCAAGGTAATTAAAATTAAAAATATATATAAAACTCACCCACTCCCAAAATTCTGCAATTTAGTTTTACAGCTTCTGCTGCAGCCTCCACACACATCTGTAGAATTAATTTAATTCTTTCTTCATAGGTTTTAGGATTGGACTGAGTGTACTTCTTAACTACTTCACCCTAAAGAGACCAAAACCAGTAAGAAGTGGAACATATTAATAATATTATATACCAAGGATAAAAAATGACCACTGATTCAGACTGATAATCCAAAGATTTAGCATGGCATACATTGAGGATAGCTGCACAGTAAACAGCACTACAAAATCAGTGAGCCCAGTTAAAATTCCTTGTTAAGTCACACTGGTTTATCCAAAATTTTACATAACTTGAAGCAAATCAACTAGATGCCCCCTTCTTATTTTTTCATCTAAATGACAGGCCATGAAGTCCAACTGACTTTATTCAGTCTTCATCCTCCTTGACTACTCACTCCCGGAATTCTCTTTCTTCTATTTGTTTCACAGACACATGACCCTCCTGTGGTTTGCCACCTATGTCTCTAACTGTTCCTTCTCTTTCTCCTTAGTTCATTCTTTCTCTTAAGGTTAGCCTTCTTAAGGTTAGACAAGGCCCTGTCCTTGGTCCTTGTCTATTCTCCCTCTATATTCTTGCCCTTGGCAATTCACTTCTTTGGCTCCAACTGCCATTTTGATGCATCTGAATCCCAAGTCCCTAATCTGTCTTATACTAGACCCTTATTTCCAACTATGTATGGGACATTTCCACCTAGATGACCTGCTGACACTGCAAACACTTACTTCAAAAGATGTGTTCTCATTGGTGTGGTCATTCCTTTTAACAATAAACACTGCACCCTATCCAGGCCTGCTCATCCCGTGGGATTCTTGTATGTGTATGTCTGCAAATCTTCCATAGAGGATTTACCCATGATAGAGGCCTTCCTTTTTGTTCTTTTAAAACTTTTGACTACCACTGCTACCCACAGTTATCCCACAATCTCCCTAGATAAAGGTCAAACTCCATACATCATTTCTCATGGGCAAAATAATCATTGCTATTATACTGCAACCTGCTTATTCAACTTGGTCAACATTTATTTAGTGCCTATGTGCCAGGCACTATACTTGGCAGTTGGAATTCGAAGACAAAAATGTCCTGCCTACAGGAGCTAAAATTCCCTTAAACAACATGTACAAAGAGAAGTAAACACAAAATTTATACGAAGTAATTTCTTGGGGGAGGAAAGAGCACTAACAACTAGAGAGATCTGGAAAGGCTATGTATGTAGTAAGTTGTACCTGAGCTGAACCTTAAAGGGAGCTTGCAAGCCCAGAACTTGCGGTGAGGAGGTGATGCATCCCAGGGATTGCAGGACTGCAGCAAGAAGGGAAGGCATGGAATACCATGGACTAGGGATGACCGGTTTGGCTGGAACATAGACTATCTGCTTTCCATTGTCTGTAAGTCACCCACAATTGCAATTCTTCTGAGATTTTGGTCTTCCATAGTTCACACCTATATACCATCACTGGGAGAATGCACTGTTTTTTAAAGGCTGTCTGTGGCAGCAGTGGGCACAGAAATTGCTGTATAATTTCCCAATGCAATCCAACCTAATCTCTTCCATTCAATTTGAGTCCCTGCTCACTGTCTTGAGGGGTGGGAGAGGGGAAATGGAATGGAAAATCATTTATTAAGTACTTACCATGTACCGAGCACTTTGACAAGCATTTAGGATACAAACAGAAAAGGGAAAAAGACCTTGATCTCAATGAGCTTACACTAATTGGAGGAGACAAAAAAGGAGGGTTTCATCCATGGTACATGGAAAGGCCAAGTGGTATTTTCTTTCTGCTGCATATATCTGTACTGATTAAATAAATATTAAGCAAATATTTCAGTCAGATGTGCATTATGGCCTTCACACACTTTGTTTTTCCAAAAACCAGTCTCTTTTTGAATGACCATGGAGCTCACTAAGGAACAGTGTTCCTGTAATATTTGGAGCCTTGATATCATCAGCACAATGCCATATACAAATAGAAGCATCTTTAAAATCTCTCCCGTAAGAGACAATTCCTCTTCTATTCAGACTTTGTGCAGGGCATCCTCTTGGACAGTGGTGAATACTTTTAATGAATATGCACATCTCTGTTTAATGCCTTGATAAATGTTGATACTCAATGGGTCAACAGGTAAAAATTGTTTCTAGGGTTATATCTGTCATGATTTCCTGCATAAAGAAGTACTTTTTTAGTTCTTAAATTTATTTTTTTTAATGAACAAAAATCTATTTTCTTTCCTTTCTATTTACTCCACACCCCCATATCACTGAAAAAATAAAAATAAAAAACAAAACCTTTTTAAAATATGCATGGTCAAGTAAAAGAAATCCCACATTGGACATGTCCAAAAAATATAGGTCTCATGCTGTATCCTGAGTCTATCAACTCTCTTTCAGGAGTTGGGCAAGCATGAGAAAGCATCTTTTTTAAAAGGAAAATCTTTAGGGCTGTATTTTACTCTACTGAGTCAAAAAATCAGTATTTATTTTGTTGTTGTTTTTTGCTAGGCAATGAGGTTAAGTGACTTGCCCAGGGTCACACAGTTATAGTAAGTGTCAAATGTCTGAGGCCCGATTTGAACTCAGGTTCTCCTGGCTCCAAGGTCAGTGCTCTATCCACTGCGCCACATAGCTGCTCCTAAATCAGCATTTATTAAGTACCTACAATATATGCTAGGGGACTGTGCAGGGCAATGGGAATACAAAGATAAAAATTAAACAGTACTTTCCCTGAAGGAGTTTACATTCTCTCAGAGGAAATGATGCATATATAAGTATATACAAAATAAATGCACGGTAATTTGGGGGAGAGGCACCAGCATCTGGAAGTATCAAGAAAGGCTTTACGTAGAAAGTGGAGCTTAAGTTAAGGTCTGAAGGAAACCAAGGGACAAAAATGAGGAGGAAGTACATTACAGACACGAAAGGACAGCTGTGCAAAGGTATGGTGCTGAAAGATGAAATGTCATGCAAGCGGAATAGCAAAAAAGCTAGTGAACTAGATCATAGAGTGATAAAGTGATACAGTAAGTATTGAAAGGATGGTTGGAGCAGGTTGTTAAATGCCTTTAGTGTGTCCAATTGTTTTGTTTTCTTTTTAAACAGGAACAATTTAATTATTTGACTTTGACATCCAGAATCTATAAGAAACTTCTACAAACTTGTAAGAGCAACCAATATCCAGAATTGTAAAAGTAAAGCACATTTTACAACAAAAAGGAAAAACACATTTTAAATGTCAAACATTCAACATCATTACTGATCAGAACATCACTGAACACCCATTTTGGGTCTCTTCCCAGAGTCCCTTCCTTATTGCTGATTTTTTTTCTACCTTTGCCAAATCCTTAAGATTTTTCTTAACTGGAAAAAAAAGTGTTCATTTCATAAAGTAAAGATGGCACTTACGGGAATGGTCAGGGCAGTCACAAACCAGACGTTATGAATTACTGAAAAAGCATTTTTTGAACTATTCCAACTAAGTGCTAAGTGCCATGCTCAGCTCTGGGGATAACAACTAGAGAAAGACTGGTCTATGGTCAAGTTGGGGGAAGACAACATATTAGAGAGTTTGACTGCTGGGCAAAGGAAAAGACTTAAAAGTCTTAAGTCCTAAAAGTCATAAGAATGCTCCAGAGGGACAGATTGTACGGCCCAGCTAGGCATCTTCAGATTGTCAGTGGCTAGGATGACAAGGGGCAAACAAGCAAGGCAGGTGGGAAAGCCAAGAAGTCCTTAGAAAGCAGCATCAGGGCTGATGGTAAGGTCTGTTTAGCAGTCCATCTTACCTGAAGGAAAAGCTGAGATTCCCATTAGCCCAAGTCATGTGAGCAGTCAAGCTGTCTGGATTGGTTCTAGGTCTGGGGCAAGAGTTGAGCAAGTCAGAATTCAGTTGGACCTGACTGAGATGAGGATATTTGCCTTTCTCTTAGTATTCGTACATGTGAACAATTTCTACGGTTGTTGATAGTATGCATTTCTTTCTTGTTTGCATTATTTAAAAAAAATTTTAAATAGGACATAGAAAAACTGAGAACACATATGAAGAAAATGGCCAAAGATAGCCATGGACAAGGGGAAAAAAAGGTAAAGAGAAAATGATTTGGCAATCATACTGCAGGGTTAAATGGAGTGACACTTTAAACTAAATTCAATAACTGCAAGTACTGACCGAATCTTCTCACTTCTTTATGGTTACTTTCCTAATCTTTCACTTCAGCCTTGCCTTCAACTTTTAAATGAGCAGAAACATACTTCCACTCAACATCCACATCCCGAGTCACATTATTCTGCTTAGTGAGTTGGTCTTTGTGGACAACATCCTTATTTTGACTTGTTTTCCAGCCATTTTCTTTCCAGTTGTTAATCCATTCATTCATATCTTTGGTAACAAGTTGGTTATTTGCATACACAACGAATTTCTCAATGTTTTGGGCCTGTGGTTTCTCAATAGCTTTGACAGCTGCTTCTAATGCTCTTTGGTTTGTCTGTTGTCCAGAATGTGTACCACTTATATTTAGATCATAGGGCTGGTCCCCAGTAGACACCAATACCTTTTTGTGCCCCTTCTCCCCCATTATTTTTGCAGGTACCCTTGACATACACAGTGTTAGGGTCTGATTCCTGGTGCAGTTGCCCATGCTGACTTCCAGAACCTCTAGTCTGCCAACAATAGTCACAGCTCTATGACTCCCCAGATTGTGTTTCCAAATCATCTCCAGTCTCTCCAAAGGTTGACGGGAAAAGAAAGCGACTCTGACCTTCAGAGAATGTGTCAGTCCAACTCTTTTTTTTTTTTAAGGCAATTGGGGTTAAGTGACGTGTCCAGGGTCACACAGCTAGTAAGTGTCAAGTGTTTGGTCTGAGGCCAGATTTGAACTCAGGTCCTTCTGACTTCAGGGCCGGTGCTTATCCACTGTGCCACCTAGCTGCCCCATGTCCAACTGTTTTTTAACAACAATAAACAACAGACACAACTCTTGTTTAACTGTAAAACTGTGAAGACAAAGTATACAGCAACATCCTGTGAAAGCTTGCCTATTTCCTTTTCACATTTCCATTAAGATTCATAGATTTACAAATGAAAGGGACCCTAGAAATCATCTGATTCCAAATCTGTTCATTTTACATATGAAGAAAAAAAACAGAATCCTGAAGAAGTGATTTGCCTAAAGTACCACAGGTAGTAAATGTCAGAGCTGGGATGTGAATCCAGGTTCCCTGTTTTCTAATGCAGCAGACTTGCCGCTGCAGCATAGTCCATTCTCATAAAGATTTTATAAAGATGAGAAAACAGATGCAGGTAAGTTTTTGCTGTTATCCTCAGTTGTCTGTTTTGTCTAACAGTGCATTCCATGATCTTTTCCATTGTTTTGGAAACTTGCCAACTTTTAAGCTATCTCTAGAATCCAAAGCTGAGAGCCTTTAAATTTTATCACTTCTTGCAGAGATATGTTCTCTGAGTGTCTTGTCAAGTCCAGTAATCCTTTACAACTTCATTTTTTAAAGTACTGTTGTCCTTTTATGACACTGAGCACTGAAGGTCAAATGCATTATGATTACTAATGAGTATAGATGACCATAGGAAGGAAAAAAGGAAAAAAGCACTTATTAAACGCTTACAATAGGCAGGCACTGCTTGTTCTAAGTTATAGTAAGGTTGGTAGATCTGTTCTACATAGCATCAACTTATCTTTCCAAATTCATCTAACAAGTATGTGATCTTGCTCAGATAGTTCTCATTCTAAACTCTCTGCAGGGATATTTCCCCTTAATCACCTTACACTGTTTTGTGAGACAGTACTGCTTTCAATTTTCCATATTCTGCCTCTCTAATAAATTGTAAATGAATTCATACTCTAAATCAGTGCTGCCCTTGGGAGTTATATCTATTCCCTTTGGAAAAGACAGCAAGTGCTAGCTATATGAAAATGTGTTTATGCTCTTTTTGTCTCCTTCATTGTAGCAACTGTTTTGCAGCTGACTATTAAGAAATGGTGATAAAAGTCAGTTTTTACTTTTGTCCCCTTCCTATTTTTCCAGAGGTGCCAACTTGTTTCAAAAGCAGAGGCTGGAGGAGTCAAAACTGGGCACTGTTTTCTAATCTTTATAAATTTCTTCTAATTTGGTATTGATTTTGATCAATGTTCTAACCAGATCTGACTGTACAAAGACAACTAATTCTGAAAAGCCTTCAACATAAGCAACCAGTCATTAACTGTGTGATAAGGTAAATAGTGAAATTTGATTTTGTGATGTTGTTCCATGCTTGTCATATCCATTTCCTTCTCAACTGATTTTTGAGGTATTTCTGATTAAGAGACATAAGGCTATAACTTTTGGATTCTTTTATTTATTGATCCTGGATATTTCTGGACATGATTTTTAATCACTTACTTTGATAATTACCTTGACATTGTAGTCAACAAACAGCAAGATAAATGTTGACTTGGTTTGCAAGATCTTAAATTATTTATGGATTTTTTTTTCTACTTCTTCATCCTCTTTAACCAGTGTTGATGCATAAGCTTAGATTATCTTCGTGGTGGTCTGTTAGCTTTTGAACACTTCAAGGTGAAATGACCAAGCATGGGTTCCCCTTCACTTGAGGTCTTTAAGGCTGGATGGCTACACATAAGGAACATTGTGGGAAGGATCCTCTTTCCAGCTAAAGATTGGTCTAAACGGTTACAGAGGTCTCTTCCAACTCTGAAATTCTGTGATTCTGATTTCCATGAAATGATGATTTTCATTTCCTCCATGTGAAGGATGAAATAAATTCTTCCAATTTTTTTATTTGCCTAGGGAGAACTTGTGAGCCACCTTTTCACTTAGATACAAGTTCTTTATGTCTTTTGGTTTTATTCATAGGAAAAATGCCAAATAGAACATAAGCTATTTGTTGGTGACTGGGCAAATATGACAATGATTTAAAACACCAAGTTTAATTAATGGTTATGGATCATCTAAAAATGGTATGATTCTTAGTTCATGAGCGTCTGCCCCCTCACACTGCAGAAGGAGGAGGAATTGAGGAGCGTATTATATTTTAATCTGCTCCATGGGCTATTTTGTGGAGGGGAGAAAAATATTACCTAAGCAGCCAACGTTGTGGTGATGAAGCTCTACACATAGTGAGGCTGTCCCTCAGCCAGCAGACATAGGATACAGTCAGGAAAATACTTGGAAAATTTTCTAATTCAGTTGATCAACCAGAACTTGCACTCTGTTGACATAGCCTTTCAGAAGGCAACTTGTCTCTAAATAATAATGAGCAGAACTTTTGTACGGGACAACGGGTTACCATAGTGCAAGTGGAAGATATTTCTTACTCATCATTGACTTTAGATATGAAACTAGAAAACATCCTCTGAGTCAAACTAGAGAATAAGAGAGCCAAGAAGTATAGAAGCTCAGGAAAAAGGCTTGGGATGAAACAATATGTATGGACAACAGAGACCAGGCACTGCTGCTACCAAGTGGTAGAACTTTTAACTCATTCATTTGTCATTTCTCTTCAATTCTATGATTCTTAAACTTTCTACCTCTTGTTCTTACAACCTACAGAAACTGTAATTTGGATCTGAGAGGGAAAAAGCAATCCATTTAGTATCAAGTTAATGATAACAAAAAGCAATTTCAGATTTGTGGTTTTGTCCTTATTTATTATTTTAATGACCATACTTGTTATTTTAATTCTTATTAACATTTTTTAATTCTTATTACTATTCCTAAATTGGTGTTAAAGATTTTTGTTTTATATTTGTCTATTAGTGCATCATAAATTAACTTGAAACTCATATGATATTAATCTTTGTTTAAATAATATAATGAGCTTAAGTCACAAAAAATTTTTAAGGATAGGACTGAATCTGTCATTTCACTGACATAGAGAATTCCTAGGTGAAGAAACCATGTCTACCAATGTAGCAGTTAGCCCCTTCTCTGCACCTTGTAGTATTAAGAGAGCTGCCTAGAGTACTGAGAGTTTGAGGTGACTCACTGAGGGTTGGATAGACAGCATGTGTCACAGGTAGGATTTGAACTCAGGTTTTTGTGGCTTTGAGGCTGACTCTATGAACACTATATCAAACTGCCTCTAAAAAAATTCCTTATGCCCTTTGTAAGCCAAGTAAAGGCTGATCATCTGTTCTCACTCTTTCTTCTAAACTCGGTAATTTAATTTATGTGTTAATAACTACTGGGACACCCTAACTGTTTAGTTCTCTGAAACATTAAGTACTGGTAAAAGGTATAGAGGATATAATTTTCAACCTTATCACCCTATCATTGTTTGCTAAAAATATTATCTTAAAATAAAATATGAATAAGAACATGGACGAGAGTCACATAAGTCAAGAAATCACATATTGGTTGCAATCCACTCCCATGAAGTACCCACAATGATGAAACTGCAGATGCACTAAAGTACTGAAGAATTAATTCTGACCACTTTAAGATTAAATTACCTTCATACTGACTATTGCAACTCGAAGGTTTGTTCCACCTAGATCAACGGCCAAGGCACTTTGGGTTTCAAGAATATGATCAATGTCTTTAGAGATGTTCTCCTTTACAGGGGGAAAGCAGAACTTCTTTTGTAGTGGTTCTTGGAGATCAATTGATTTGAGAAACTTCAAAATCCTCGGAACAGCATTCCCATCCCCATATATCTTTGAACTGCAACATCCAAACATATTAAATAAAATCAAGTATAGTGTACTACAATGACCATAATTTTTGTGGTACAAAATTTATTGTCACATTGTATTTTAAAATAATTATGACATCCAAATTTCTAAGCTGAATACCTACATATAGGACAACTCAGTTTTTTGATAGAAAGCCTAAATTCAATTTAATACTTGGGGGGAAAATAAATACAGAACTGGTCACATATGAAAATTATCATAAAACAGGATTATTTTATTTACAAAATATTAATTTAACATAGACTTTTTTCTCTCCACAACCAAGGAATACAATATAACCTAAGATGTCTTCAGATAGGAAAATAATGATCCTCTCCTAAGTCTACCCACACTCAGTCTAATAAAAGAGTGAATAAAAAAATTAATCTTTACACACTTGAGAAAGGAACTACATTGGAGTAGCTGGGAAAAAACCTGACAAATTAGTAAAAATTCTGAATTTTACGATATTTTTAAGGAGATTAAGTTTCCTTACTACCTTTGAGTACTTATATACAGGCCAAGATGTGGGGTGACATTTTAAGAGCTTTGGGGTCACAAAGCTCCAAGCCTAGTTTTGCCAGCTTACTCTACTATACAATCATAGGCAAGTTGTGGAAGTCAGCAGTATTAAACTCAAATAGAAATGGATCCCTGCGGGCAGCATATTGACTCAGAAACCAACAAATTCATATTATCTGTGTTGTATTATATTTTTATTTACTTTGTCAAACATTTTCCAACTACATTTTTATCTGATTTGGCAGCATTCCAGAGCTGTATAGTCTCCTTGCCTCTGACACCTTTGACTTTATCTTAGGTTCAGTTTTCTGAGGGATAATGATGTCTGCACTACCTAGTGTGTAAAGCTTTTATGAGGATCAAATGAAGCAATCTCTGAAACTCTTGAGAAACCTTAAAAGCAATGAGCTAAGCAATTCTCAGGACCTCAGGCAAGTTTTACAGAACAAATCCTTTTATTAAGGGGATTTGTTCTATGAAGTGTGGATTCAGTCAAAGGGCCATACGCTTGATGACCTAGAGGACCACATGGGCCTCAAGGCCACAGGGTCCTCATCTCTGGCAGACTCACCCTAAACACCAACTTAAATATGATTTTGCTTAGCAAGTCTTTTGTTAAAAAAGCAAAACAAGATAAAACCCAAACTGCAGAAGTATAAAGGTAAACCTTGGCCTGACCCCTATTTAATTAGTCAATTGGAATTGACTTTAATTGAAGTCAACTGACTTTAATTTGAAACTGAAATTTGACTGACTTTAATCAAATTAGTTGAATTTAATTAAACTAATATATGTTAGTCAAATTAAAATGAATGCATTTTTATGAAATTAGAACTACAGACAATCCTCGCCCATCCCCAAATAATAAAAATCCAGGTAAATAATCTGAGACTTATAAGAAAGAAGGGTTTGTTTTTTGTTGTTTTCAGTTCACAGACACTTTTAATAGAGGAGATACAGTAAACTTGAATTTCAGCAAGGTATTTGACAAAAATCTCTTCAAAGGAAGACTGCTGATTAATATAGAAATATGAAATATCTTAAAGGAGCTTAACTTTCTCAACAAACACTCCATGAAAGATTTAAAGGGATATCAAACAGAACAATGATCAAGAAGAACAAAGAGAAACACCAGTAAACTCCTCCATCTAGTCTTAACGTGAGGATGGCTGGAAGCCTGTGGGTGCTTGGAGCAAAGATGTACCAAAGGGAAAGAACCTCGTGCAAACTCTTGTAAAGAGAGCTTAAAGCCAGCTGGATCTGTCAATTAGCCTATTTAAAGTCTCAGTGGGTAACAGAGCCAACCCTCTATGGGGCACTGTGCAAAGAAACCAGGGCTATGTGTACATGCCTTGGGGCCCTCAAAGATTGATTGCAAGAGACAAGGCCAGTGCAGCACCTATTCAACTCATACCAGATGGAGTTCAAGAAGGCCTGAGACAAGCACAATTCCTAAAACCCAGTTATGGTTCTCAGGGCTGCAACTGAGGATGATGGTAACTGCTGGTTGGGAAATTTACAACAAAAACAAGATGAGTCAAAGATGAGACCAGCATCCACATTGGGTCACGTAGCAATAAAGCTGCCAGAGGCTGCAGCACAGGATGGGGAATGTTCCCAGCCATCCCACCAAGAATAGTAGTGGCATGTGTACTAGAAGGGGGAAAACACCAAACAAGGCTGACTATGCCTTCCAAGAGTAGAGGAGGGGATGGATCCTGGCCCTAGAATAAAGTTCCAATGCAGAAACTGAGCCTGAAGACATGAGCAAACAGAAGAAACCTAAGAATAAATATGGGCTAAAAGAAACACATGAGGTAAATCCAAAAAAGAGAGTAACTCCAGAGCTATAAGGGGGGAAAATGGCTTAATCACAAAGACTATAGGAGCATCTTGAAGAAATATAAAGAGATATAAAATGAAATGAAAGTTCTTGAGGAAAAAATAAGTTGATTAGAACAGCAGGGAGAGGAGGGAAACCTTACCCAAGTAGAGGACGTCCAAAACATAAAATGGAGCAATAGAACACAATGATTCCATGTGACAATAAGAAATATTAAACAAAGTCAAAAGATTGAAAAATTAGAAAAAAAAATATGTTGTCTGCTATCAAAAGCAACTGACATGGAAAAGAGGTTGAAAAGAAATAATTTAAGAAATTTTGCCACCCTCCCTTGAAAAATAAAACCAAATCAAAAAATCTCAGTTTCATATTTTAAGAAGTAATAAAAGAAAAATATCCAGATCTGTTAGAATCAGGAAGCAAAAGTAATCCAACATTCACTTTCTGAAAGAAACTGTGAATTGAAAACACAGAGGAATGTGTTTCCAAGTCAAAGAAAATGCCAAATTTCCAAGTCAAAGGAAAAAAAAAATATCCCAAACAGAAAGAGTTCAAACACTAAAGGACCACAGGCTCCTAAAATCATACAAGACTATACTACAACTATTTGGTAAGGAAAAATGGAATACAATATACCAAAAGGTAAAAAAAAAAAACCTTAGAACCAGGAACAGTTTATCTTGCAAAAATGAGTATAGTCCTACAGGGAAGTAAAATTGTCTTTTAATGGATTAGAGGACTTTCAAACTTTCCTGATGAAAAGACTTGAGCTGAGCAGAAACTTGAAATGCAAGCACAGGAGTCAAGAGAAACCTATAAAGGGAAATAGATTTGAGAATTTGGAATGGAAATAAGCAAAGATTAAAGTACTTATATTCTATAGGGAAGAAGAAACAAGCATTTCTTCAGAATCCTACTGTCTTCAAGGGTCACAGAGGGCATAAAAAAAATGAAGGCCCTGAATATGATTTTGTCAGAAAGGAAATAAAAGAGAAGGAAAAAGAAACACTAGGGAAGAAATCAAGAAGGCAAAAAAACTTATAATTTCTCATTACTGGGATATGCCAGAAACATATACAAACAAGGAGGAGTGAAAGAAATAGGTGTCTCATGAGCCTTATTCTTACCTGAATATGGTAAAGGAGAATTGTATACGCACACACAAACATATATGCACACATGCAAAGTTTGGCATGAGAAATACATTGAACTCAACAGGATAATAGAAGGGTACAGGTTAAGGAAAGGGGAATTTAAGAGTCAGATCTGGAAGACCAATAAAAGGGTAATTAAACAGAGATAAAGATGGGATAAGAATGAGTGATCAGCATCTGGGCTCAATTACAACGTTAACCAAAAACATTTGAAATCAAGAGATTCACAAGGTTAACATAAGGAGTTGGAACAGAATGAACTATATCTCAAATGATTTTTTTTTAATTTTTAAAATTTTTTTAAAAAGGGGAGTGGCCAACATAAAATAAGACAAGACAATAATAAAAACAGACATGATTATAAGAGGTAACAGGGAAAACACATTGTCCTTAAAGGCACCCTACATAATGAAATAACACCTATATTTAATACATAGGCAATGAACAGCATAGCATCTAAGTGCTTAAAACAAAAGAATCAAGTTACAAGAAGAAATTGATAGCAAAACTATAATAGCTGATGCCTTTAACATATCCCTTACAAAACCAAAGAAAGCTAACAACAAGAACCACAAAAACAAGAAAAAAAGAAGTTAAAGGCCTAATTGGACATAATAACTCTCTGGCAATTAATGACTGGTAACTAAAAAGACTATACACATTTCTTAGCTTTGAATGACATATTTACAAAAGATTGAGTATGTGTAAGGGAATAAAAGCCTCAAACAAATGTGGATAATCAGAAAATAGTAAACATATTCTTCACTAAATACAATACAATAAAAATTATAAAATAAATAAAACAATACAAATTTTTGAAGAAAGATTTCAAATTTAGAAACTAAATAACTTAATCCTAAAGAATATAAGAACTGGTCATTCTGGAAAGCAATTTAGAACTATATCTAGAAAATTCCTAAACTATTCATACCCTTTGACCTAGTGACACTACTATGTAGATAATGGAAAGGGCTTTAATACACAAAAAATATTTATAGCAACACTTTCTGTTAGAGCAAAGAACTGGAAATGAAGTGGGTATCCATCAATTTGGGTGGAATGGCTAAACAAATTATGGCATATGAATGGAATGGGATATTATTGTGCCATAATAAATAATAAAATGAGAGATTTAGAGAAAGCTGGAAGGTCTAATATGATTTGAAGCAAAGTGAAATAAGTAAAACCAGCAAAACAACTTATACAATGACTACAATAATGTAAATGAAAACAATTTCAAAATACTTGGTAACTCTGATCAGAGCAATGACTAATTATGACGATGATGAAGCATGCATTCCACCTCTTAGTAGAGAAGGACTACAAGTATAGAATGATACGTCCGTCTTCCAGAACGATCAATGTGTGAATTTGCTTTGTTTGACTACACTTGTTATGAGGGAGGTCTATAAATTGGAGTGTAAGGAAGAAGAGTGCCTGGGGAGGTTGGTGGATAGTAATTATTACCCT